AATAGATTATTAGGTTCATTCCCCAATTTTAGAAGGCACAAGCCAAAAGGAAAAATGGAAGCACCATCTTAATCACTCGACTTCATAAGGTCCTCTTACTCTCTTTCTTTAAGCAGTATTTTTCATGTTCTATGATTATTTTTGTGCAATCTTTCCGCTTAATGGTATCAAACCAAAGTTACTAGCAAAGTGTAATTTTTTTTTTTTTTGTTTTTTATGTAGGAACCCGTAGCCGCCACCTGCCAGCAGAACCCCTACCACTGTGAGTGCGCACTTTGTAAACCCTGCTCCATGTGCAATAGTCCACAAATCACACAAGAGAGGTACACTGCACTAGGCAAGTCCGATGCGATGAACTCGACTAGAAAGTGTTGGCAGGGGATATGAACTCGTGACCTTTGGTCTCCGCGTTCACTTGCTCCACCAACTCGGCCACCCCCGAAGGGGTACTAGCAAAGTGTAATTGCTTTCAGTTGAGGTGGGCTAAGTCTAACTTTATCTTTACATTGGGCCTTATGTTTGTGCAGAATGGAACTTTGGGTAGTTAAATTTTTGAAAAAATGTGCTTAGATTTGTTCCATTATTTGCTTAGAATTTCTTATTCAATGTTTAATTTCTTGGTTTATAGTGGGTTTCCAAGTTCGTTGAAGTATGTTCCCGGCATTAACTTCAAAAATGATAATGAACCTTTCAAGGTCCCTTTCTCTGTTTGTCTTAACACATTCTGATAATTTGTATTTATGAAATTCCTTTTAGAAAGTCAAATTTGGACCCTTTTCAGTCAATGACTTAGAAATTTTGACGATTTAATTGGTTTTCGGTGTGGTGTTTGTAGAAAGCAATGCAGAGTTTTACCCAGAAAATGGAAGAAATATTGTTTCTTTATACTTACTTAAACTTGCTTAATAGCTTCTGATCTAGATTATTCATTTTATTATTCTTATTGTTCTAATGTTCTAATTTCGTTTTTGCAATCTTGACAATCAAGTCCCAATGAAGACAAAGTCAGGTCCCTTGAAGAAGGTTTATGGTGTGTGTGTGTATATATATATATATATTCCACATAAAAAAGTTATCCAAAAACTTTTGTATATATAGGCAAATGCCTGGTTCAACTATAGGCAAAACCTCAAATGTTTGTACGAATAATACAAAATAGACGAGAAGTAAGTCAATTTGAATCAACTTATAAACACATTTTACATTTACAAATGAATTTCTCTAAAATTTACACACTTATTTTTTAACATTAACCAACTAATGTGTAATACCCACCAATATAGAAGCAACTTAGGAAACACGAAGATGAGATACATGCTAACTATTCGCATTTATTTGGTATGTTTTAATTTTGAGGACGGAATTTATTTGAAGGGGTAGAAATTTGTAATGGAAAGTACTTATTTTTCATGATTATCATGTCGGTTTAGTATTAATATAGCATTTACTGTTTAATTTATATAACGATCTTTATTGTGACTAATTATAATTTTTTTTTTATACAACAGAATGTGCCTTGGACGCACTAGACGATTGACGTGTTTATTAGTTTAAATTTAATTAAAAAACTTAATTTTAGTAAGCTAAAATAAAATTATACAAATATATATTTTAT